AACAACCTAATTACTAGACTCAACAGTTTCCTATTTTAAATATAAAACTTTTCAAACCCTTCCAAATACCCAAATTCAAACCCAACTCCTATACCTAAATCCATTGCTGCTACTATATGCCAGATAACATGTATTCTATACGTATCTGATTGACGACTAGCCTTAATCAAAAGTTCTCTCTCAATATTGGGTGGGGTAATTAACTATAGGGGCTTGCGCCTATAGGAAATCAGAACTCAAATTATAAAGTCCTCACAAATGAGGGCGTAATCTCTGTGTAGTGTCTTATCTACAAACTCCTCTACCTTTCAAAATTTTCCTCAGAACTTATATCAGTTAAAACTCCCTCGCCGAATAAAAAGAAAAAGCGAGCGGAGGCCGGGGCCAAATTTTTGGAGCCCACAGATTTCTGGCGACTCTGCTAGGGATTGGTTTCTCTTTCTATCTTTAGCTAGTCGTCTCAGTAGCATCCATATTGATCTGTACTTAAAATTTTAAGTATCCTAAGAATGATCATTCAAAAAATTCTCCATTGAGATAACTTGTTTAGCAGTATTTTAGATTTATATTTTTTCAATTGCTCACTAATATTATCATCTCTTATTTTTGTGTTCTGTGTAAGTCTCTGCATTTTGAAAGTGCGGGGTGATGTATCAGATTATGATTACTAACTCTTGCCTTTCATTTATGCAGATGGATCTACAGAACACCCCGATGACTGTCCAGCTGGGACAAGGAGCCAGGATTTAGCTGGCAAATGTTGTTATTGAGACCAGAAATGCCGGAGCTACCATCCAGTTTGGTAGCGTTGACTTCCCAGCAATTGCTTTAAGGAGTGCCGCCATTCCTGTGAATGGCAAGAATACTGAGAAGTCGGCCAGAATACTTAATGCTGATGATGCTCCTATCCATCGTGCGCATCTGCCAGCGCCACGACCTACTGTTGAAAATCCTCATAAGATGATTTCTGTATTCGAGAGGCTATCACAGCCTGAGGCCCCATCAACCAAGAGGATTGTAGCTGATGGAAGAATCTCAGTGGTGACTACCAACACCATTACTCAGCCAACCGAGTTGTTTGCACCCGAGAGATATGATATCGAGGCTTCCTCATCTGTAGGAAGACTCACCAGGAGGTAGAGAAGAAAGAAAAATGCTGAACTTCGAGCTCAACAACAGCAACTCCCAGTCCATCCATCCAACCTGTCTGCCCGAGTGCCTAAAGCCAATATTCCTACCCTGAATAAGTTTTTTGATTTAAAATGGGTAAAGAGAAATAGCTCCACTAGTGAGCTGAAGAAATTATTTTGGGATCAACGGCCTGAAGCCCCAATTCCTCCAAAGAAGAAAGAGCCTGAAACTCTGCTCTCTCGAGTATACAGAGTATTGAAGACACTGAAGGATAAAAGTCTAAAGAAGAAGTTTCAATGGCCTTTAGTGATCGAGAAGAGAAGAACCCCGCCAAGGGAGCGTCTGTCCTTTGCTGCAGAAAGAAAAGAAAGAAAGCAAATCTCACGCGGTGAACATTGGGGTGTGACACCTGAACCGCATGTTCAAGGATCCACTGTTGAAAGGTCCCGGTTGAAAGGAAAGCAAATCTGGAGGCCAAAGCCTCAAAGAAATAAGGAAGAAAAGAAATAAAGAAGAGTTGATCTGGGCGTAACTTCCGGTTCTGCTTGCCAGAGTTCCGCCCCCATCAACAAACAACGTAAGAAGTGGGCCCCTAAAAGGACCCATAATGACAATCCTCCAGACGGTAGACACCTTGGAGAATCCTTTAGGAGATCCCATCACCTTCCATCCCCTTCAAAAGAAGAGACTAACTTCGACCACAGCCCACTGATCGAAGAAGTCCCATTGCTTAATCAAGAACCAAAAATCCAATGGCGTCGCCGCTCGGAAATTCGAGTACTAGAAGAAGAAGGAAATATGGAAGGGGGAGATAATATTGAAGAAGAAGAATACCTTGAAGGGAAAGAAAATATTGATGAATTTCTGAAGGAAAATCTAGATGAAGAAATTCAGGAAATAAATGACACTCTGAATATGGAAGTTGTCTATATGGTGACACATATAGACATCGATGATGGCGCCGATTATGATGATGAAGATGACAATCATTTGCAACCGCCACCTAGGCAAGTATACCATCGTCGCCATAGAGAAGGGTCCACCACTGGCAGAAGTCGTCATTCTCAAGAAGAAGAAGAAGTGGAGGAAGTAAATGAAAACTCTTCTGAGGCCAAAAATGTCACACTCGCTATAATGTGGCGACAAATGAGGCAATAAATGAGGGTCAAAGACAGGGAAATCTCTCAGTTAAATGAGAAGATGACTGAGATGATGGCTCAAATGGGGGCAATGATGTAGAAAAATGCTGCTATTGGCGCCATGCCTAATCCTCCTGCTGACCCTCCAAACTTCTAAGTGTCACCAGGTTCAGGAGTACAGGGAGCTCCTGAAGGTAGTCGCGAAGCCCATAATATCATTCGCCAGCCCACTCCACAGAATATTGCAAGTACTTCTGAGCCCGTGACTGCTGCGCAGCTCAAAGAAATTATCATTAAAAAGATCAAGGCAATTATAGCTGTTGACCAGGCAGAGAAGCTGGTGGGTAAGGGTCGCCTGTACCCAGCTGAGTATGATCAGGTGTCATATCCAAAAGGATATTCAGTACCAAAATTCAATACCTTTGATGGCAACAGAAATCCTCGGCAACACCTAGCACAGTTTAAATCCACCTGTGCGAATACAGGAGGAAATGATGCCCTACTCTTTTGACAATTCGTTAGCAGTTTAACAGCGACTGCTTTCGAATTGTATGCAGAATTGTCAAATGATTATGTGAAGACTTTTGCATAATTAGAAACTATGTTCGTGAAGAAATTTGCTAGTGCAACTAAAAAGATTACGATCACTGATCTCGCTCTGGAGAAAAGAAAAAGAGAAGAGTCGGTGACGAAATATATCACTCGTTGGTGCAACTTAAGCATGAAATGTGAGCAGCAACTTGAAGAAGAGCATGTCGTACAGTTATTAATGGGCAATATTGATGACAAGATTCAACCCTTCCTGTGCATGGCTACAATCAACACATTTCAAGACTTGTTCGATAGAGTGGCCAAGTTTGACAAACTGAACTTGTCCAGATCAAAAAATCACTCTTATAAGCCCAAGAAGACTAAGGTCCCGGGTACTAGAAGGGGTGAGGCCGACTCTACGTTCTTCTCCAGAGCTAATAAAGAAAAGCATGTGATTTATAACATAGACAAGGGCAAACATCCAATGCAGTATGAAGAAAAGCCCAAGCAGGCATACAACCCCAACCCCCAGTCGAAGCTGATGCTAAGGGGCAACGATAAGACACGAACTTATCAAGGTGGTGGAGAACGCCCGATATAGGTAATAGGAACTGGTGATAGAATGTTCCAATCCCTCAAAGATAAAATGAATAAAGAATATTCATTCAAGAGGGAGAGTGTCACCAAATTATTTCGACAGGTGTTGAAAATGGATCTAGAACTGCCAGAATGCAAGTGGCTCGAAGAGTCGAAGCACACTGGTGACCCAAATTATTGCCCATACCATCGGGTGGTCAGCCATCCTATCAAAGATTGTTGAATTTTTAAGGATTGGCTCGAAAGAAAATACCGGAAGGGAGAGATCACATTATCAGATAATGTGCTGACTAATCCCAGAAAAGAATCAAATCGGGTGGTCACGTCCTCTTCCGTACTCCCGACTGAAGAAAGAATAAATGAAAAGAAGACAGCTCAAGAAGAACAGTGGGAGACTGCGGTCTCTAAAAAAACTGTAAAAATATTAAAACAACTCGAAAGAGTTCCAGGGGTAAAGTGGAAATCTCCTACGGAGCCAGTGTTAAATTTGAAGGCACTGCCAATGGTACGATCCTCTACTTCTAAACAATTTTCTATTCACGCTGGTTCTTCAAAGACTGGAAAGATTAAGTCATCCAAGAATAAGACCAAACTGAAAAAGCCCAGGGAGAAAAAGACTGCGACTCAAAGGGTTATCGACAGCTTGGATGAATACTACCAGACAGTGAGGCGACCTATCAAGCTCGCTGACTTTATGTTAGAGCTTAAGATGGATGAAGCCGAAGAAGATGATGAGAATTCTCTTCCAAGAGAAGTATGTCGGGTCATCTCGGTGGCGCCGAGTACCTTAACAAAAGAAGAACACACTGAAGAAGTACCCTCTGAATCATGTATGATGGTTTTGCCAATGGATTACAGTTTAGAGGAGGACTTGTATTTTCCAAAGGAAGATGGGTCGGACCCCGACATAGCATCGTAGATGGGACATATAAAACTGGGTAGTGATTCTGAATCAACGGATGAATCCCTGAATGCAACAATGGCTGACTCTGAAGAAAACGTCCCATTAAATGAATTTATGCCAGAAGAGGTCGATCAAGTGCAACTAAGGAGTGGTAAGTTATTGCCGCCTTCACCAAAGAAATGGATCTTGAATAAAGATAAAGGGAAAGAGATAGTCATCAATGATGATATTATTCCTGAAGATCCTAAGAGAAAGAACACTTCAGCCAAGAGGATATATTACAATATCTTATTCCACTTGAGGAAGATCCCAGCACAACTCAGCATATACGATGCCCTCGTGATGTCTAAAGACCTTAGGGAGACTTTTATTCAGGCTCTCAAAGACCCCGAAAGGTACGAGGCATATTTTGTTGAGCGTAATATGACAGAGGTCTTACAAGCTCGAAATGAGCCGTTCATCACTTTTTTTGAAGAAGATATGATGCTAGGAACGGAGGATCATAATCGTCCTCTATACGTTACTGCAGAAAGTGATGGAATGATGATTAGTCGAATCTTGATCGATCCAGGGTATTCTATAAATCTAATAAGCTTGAAAGCACTAAGATCATTATGCCTCGATGTAGAGCATCTTGGATCAGATAAGCTTATGGTAAATGGCTTTAATGAGAAAGGGCAGAAGACCCTGGGATCATTTACACTCTCCCTTACCTTTGGAGAGCTCCATATAGATGCAAAATTTCATGTGATTGATGCAGATACTGCCTTTAAAGCGTTCCTTGGCCGACCCTGGTTACATGAATATGGCATCGTCCCATCAACACTACATCAATGCATGAAGTACCTCAGGAATGGATAGGAGTTCAGAATATCTGGTGACATCCAACCCTTTGCAGTTCATGAAGTGAAGATATATGAAGATGCAAAGTATTTCATTCCAAAGAAGTTGAAGCCATCAAGCTCTCTTGAGGTACAGGCATCAGAACCAGAGACTGCAAAGCAACCTAAGCCAAAAGCCAAGAAGAAGCATGTGGGAAGAAAGAAGGCAAAGCCGACTCTTCCCAAGGTATCAACCATCCTGAATGAAAGGAAATATATACCTCATTTAGGGAGTGACACGGCTGAAAGTGATGCCACCCCTACAAAATCCAAGAGGATGCGTCAATCAACAACCAAAAGGAGTATGGAGGTCGAATATTTAAATTATGATTATGACTATGATTATATCTACATGAATACAGTGCAGGATGTGTTCTCCAGAAGAATAAACAGCCTGTCAATCTCAGATAGTATACTCTTAGTCACACGTATTCCCCTGCAACACTTCAAAGAAGTCACTCCGCGAGAAGTAGATTGTGTTGAAGAGCTCGTGACATTCTACGTACCTCCCCTAAAAGAAAAAGGTGGACCAGCGAGTCTATTTTATTCTGTCGGGAAACTCGAAGAGGAGATAAATCGAGATTGGTTTCGTACACATTGATTCCGGGGAATTAGTACCTACGAGGTTTCCCAGGTACAATACCAGAAATATTCAAAGAATGTTAAGAAAGCGAGGTAAGACTCGTTCCTCCAAACAGCAAGTTCGTTTCTGCTTGAGCCTCTAGTATCGAAGAAATTCCCACTCAATAAAGAAAAATGATATTTTTGCCAAAAAGGGGCTAGGATTTATTGTACGGAAATATCCCAGAAACGTGATTTGCCAAGCAATCACATGCAGGGAAATTAAATCCGAGGATAATGGTGATGAGGTGTAAGAAGTTGATGATTATGATGATCAACCAGTTGAGGCCAAACCTGCACCAGAAGAGCTTGAAGATGGTGGACAGGTAGCCATTATGGACGAACTAAAAGAAGTCAACTTGGGAACTGAGGAGGACCCTCGCCCAACCTTCATTAGTTCTCTCCTATCCAAGGAACAAGTAGAAGAAATAAAGCAAATTCTTTGTGAATTCAGGGACTGCTTGCCTGGACATATGCTAAGATGCCGGGCTTATCCTCTGATGTGGCAGTTCACAAATTGGCCATCAAATTAGATGCGACGCCTATCAAACAAGCTCCAAGGAGAATGAGATTGGAGATTGAAGAGCAGATAATTGCTGAGACAAAGAAGCTAATTGATGCAGGCTTCATACGAGAAGAAAAGTATGCTGACTGGATTGCAAACATTGTCTCAGTAAAGAAGAAGAATGGACATATTCGTATTTATATTAACTTATGGGATCTTAATAAGGCGTGCCCAAAAGATGATTTTCCACTCCCTGTATCAGAACTATTAATGGACAACACTTACAACTATGATATGTTCTCATTTATGGATGGATCATCAGGCTACAATCAAATTAAAATGGCACATGAAGATGAAAATCACACATCATTCAGGACATCTATCGGCATTTTTTGCTACACAGTCATGCCCTTTGGCCTAAAGAATGCTGGTGCCACTTACCAGTGGGCAATGACTCACATATTTGATGATCTGATACATCAAAAGGTCCAGTGCTATATGGACGACCTTGTTGTCAAGAGCATGGATCGCAAAGACCACCTAAGTGATCTAAGGATCGTATTTGAGAGGATCAAGAAGTATGATCTAAAAATGAAGCCTCTCAAATGTGCTTTTGGGGTCTCTTCTGGGAAATTCTTGGGGTACGTTTTGCGCCACCGAGGATTCGAGATCGACCCCAATAAAATCAAAGCAATTATGGAGATGCCGCCTCCAAAGAACCTTCGACAACTTCGCTCACTACAAGGGCAATTGGCTTTCATCCGGAGATTCATATCAAATCTTTCAGGCATGTGCCAACCATTCTCGAAGTTGATGAAGAAAGACGTCCGCTTCAAATGAGATACAGAATGCCAAGAAGCATTTGACAGTATTAAGAGATATCTATTGAATCCCCCCATTCTTACAGCACCAATTCCGGGGAAGGCTCTTATAATGTATACAGCTGCACTAGAAGAGTCCCTTGGAGTACTATTGGCCTAG